AAAGAAAAACATAATCCTATGACGCAAAAACGACATTAATTCTAAGTTCAACCATAACTGCTACTTTCATAATTAACGCAAACACAAAAAAAAAACCATATAAATACTTTATATCTCTCTCTCTCTCCCCCCCCCCCCCCCCCCCCCGCCCCAAGAAATCAAACAGACCAATAGGGCTTGTTTTGAATCAAAAACCATAACCGCCACAAACAGAAACATCATTATTACCAAAAATGTTAAAACCCAAAAAAGAAAAACACCTGCAACAATCAACGGCTTGATAATTCGAACAACAAAGCACGGAAATTTTAAGAGATAGTACCTGAAATGAGAGACAGAAAGAGAGAGAGCGTGCATGTGGAAGCAATGAAAAGGGCAAGTTGTGGGGGTGGCGGAGGAGGGGGATATATCAGGTTTTTGTAGAATGTATATATAAAAAACCATGGCATCTCAGAATGCTCGAGCCGAACATAACAACGGCATATTCTCCTCTCTCTCCCCCCTCTCTCCTATTACTTGCAGAGGTTTCCTTTTTTCTTTTCCCTTAAAATACTTTTACTAAACAAAATTCAAAGATTGGGCTTTGAACAAGAAAAGACCAGAAAAACAATTTTACAACTTTACGCGGTTGAAAATTTTTGAAGCCACGTTTCTGATGAACGACAAACCGTTGGATTAAGGGACACGCGGGAGTTTGCGTGATGGTTAAGAAGAGTGGAAACTGAAACACGTGGAGTTTGTGTTGGGGGCGAGGATGTGGTCAATTGTCGAATGGAATATAAGCAGTGATGATGTTATGAGAGGATCCTTGCCCTGATTTTGTTTTCTCAATTGGATTTGGATCAGGCCAACCACCACATCGGATACGTTTCCTTCCCCTTTTTCCCGGGCTGACTCCATTCATTTGTTGGTTACCTTGGACTGTGGGGACGGCCGGGTTTTTTCCCTTGTTTCTTTCTTTTTGTTAAAAGGTAATCGATCATGTAAAATCATGTCAGCCCCATCATCACCTTCGACCCACCGTGCTCAAAGGGTAACAACGTTTTCTATGACTGTGCTATGTTGTTTAGGAGAAGAAGGGTCACTCTCATTCATAAATGCTTGCTCATCTTGCTTGAAATTGCCAAGTTCTGGAAACAATGCGTGAGATGGACATTAGCCGCACGAGTTCCTTGCGGCCGTGCCGACCATGAGATGCGATGTGGATCCAAAAGATTGCTCAAGATGGTCCAATTTATAGGCCATTAGTCAAGAGTCATCCCTACTACCTGAGGCTAAATTTATGACCCAAACTCTTCCTTTTAAGCCCATATTAAGCTGGCCTTTTTGGGGGGTTGCCATAGAATGCGTTAGCTTCGGCGCAACAAAGTAGGCTTGGGTCGCGTGCGTGGCCATCTCCTGTTTAGCTTGAGCTTGTTAGGATTGGTTTTCATGGTGATTGCCTGTCCCACGCTTGAATAAGGTAGTTGGTTAGCTAGATGCACACTCCCAAGTTTGACTTGCTAAGTAATAAAACAGTGTCTTAAAGTAAGTCATTTACTGTTTTCTCAATTAATCATTTCAAACCCACAACCATTCCCCATCATGAACCTTACACTAGTTATTCTAGAACCCTTTTCTTCAACTAGCATAACCATCAAATCCTACTTCAAAGATTCCTAGATTCATTTGAGTTATAGGATTCTGCATATGTTCAACGGCTAGGATTTGACGGCTGTGGGAAAATGCTTCCCTCTCTTTCAACCAATGTGACAGAGTCTCCTAGCTCTACAATTGTATATAGCTGTTCAATTCCTCAACGCATGTTCTTGTTATGATCACGATTTGCGACTAATGGAGCCCACTTCTCCAGGATCCAACTGTGTTCTTTGGAAGCTAAGAAATTCCTCAACTCGAGGAGCCAACCAGGCTGTAGCCACCAGGCAACCCCTCCCTCCCCTTCAATATTGAAGACTGAATGATGAGTGGAAGGTCTTGGCACGGAACGATTTGGGAACTATACAACATCATTAGCTTCATTTGACTTGGATATTCTTCTCTACAGGAGTATAATTGTTTATACACCAATGGATACATTAGGGTTCCTCTTGGATTTCTGTGGGGCTGTAATGCTTATACACCTTTCTTTTACTGGTAAAAGCTTTGACAATGCAGTGCGCACTTGGTTTTGGTCACTAGCACTTTTAGTAATGCTCTGCATTATCTCTAATTATTGTCAGCAAATCTTCACTTAATATTTTAAGCATGATTTTGATCAGTTGTTAATTATTAACGATCATCAGAATGACGCTTAACCCTCTTGTTGGGATTTCCAAATTCCCCACTGTCGTAGTGGCTTGGAATTATGTCGGTTCAGATAATCAGAATGAACATCAAAGATAAAAGAACAATTTTCTTTGTACTTGCTCTCAGATATATCTGCTGTAAGAAAATGGCTCCTGCTATTGGCAAACGCTAACTAAATAAGCTATAGTCCTTCGAATCTTGGAGACAAGGCAAACACACGAATGTCTATTCTCCAGTTAATGCGGTTTTTGGGGGCCTTGCTGCCAGCTTTTGCCTTCCCTTGTTTTGAGTTGTGTTGGGCCTAGCTCTGTTTTGGCTTGGTACTCTGATTCTAGTACTCTGTTACTGTCGATTCTCAATCAATTCAACTCTACGGGTGATCTAATTCTAGTCCTGCGTATTAACGTACTTTAATTAAGGGAATGATACTTAAACCACTAATAAGCCAAAGATTAAAGTTCAAGCAGGATGATCAGCTCGGTTAACATGATAAGCAGGTCGTGTTTGACTAGGACAAGTCAGTGGGCAAGCGGTTCACCTCCTAACATAATAGCCATAAAAGGATTACACTGCTTAATGCCCTAATCCATCCAGCTCTTCCTCTCTCCCACCCCAATTAGTTTCAAGCATGTCTAGGCGTTGAAATTATTACTTTCAACTAATGACTACGTTTTACGTGGAGTAAAGTGACAAGTGAAAATGAAAGAAGGAACACTAATAAGGAAAGAACTTCATATCAGGCCGGTTCTAGCTCAGAGAAAATTGGTTGGCGCCGGTTATTCCTAGCCAACTTTAGTGCTTGACCCAGTAAACGCTAGATTTACAATTGCCAAGTTTTCATGGAAAGAAGATTTTCCGGTCGGCAGCAGGAGCCCCACAAGATCCTTCTTTTGATTCTGTTCAACCGCATATTGCACAAGAATTGCCTGCACTAGCTGAATAGAAATCCCCTGCCCCTATTCGTGCCCCCTTCTCTTTTCATGCCCAGTGTATAGGTTTATTTTTTACTGTTGTTAGGAGTCTTAAAGCTAAGGGCTCTTTGCTTTTGCTGCAGCCTTTTACCCTCTTTTACTCTTATCTCTCGCAGTTCTACTGCTCAAAAAGTTCAACGAGTTTTTATCTCCACCGAAAAGGATCGAGGGCTTTCCTTCCTGCAACTTCTGAAATTACCAACGATCCAGTGGTTTTGCAACTCATTGTCGGATCACATACGCTTAGGCTTTCTTTTTGCAACTGATTTTTGGGGTTTGAGTTCATTGTCGTATCACCGAAGCCTAGAGATGACCTGATAGACAAAACTTTAATTAAAAGCTTATTAAATGTATAGCTGGGAGGTTCAGTTCTAAATTCAATGCCCATGACAATGTATTTTACTTTTGTATTTTGTATATTTAGTAGGGTAAAAGTTCGAGAACTTAGGCTGATGCAGTGATGCTGGTAGAGAAAATATAAACAAGAAACTAAACATGAAAAGAGAAAAGGGGCACCGGTGGGGGCACAAATAGGGGGCAGGACATTTCTGTTCAGCACTAGCTAGCTTGTCACGCAACTATGGTTAAACTTTAAAACAGTAGACCAACAACAACAGCAACTAAAAGAGAAAAAAAAATGGACTGCGGTAGAAAAGAATACATGGTATTTCAACCATCTAATGTTGAGCAAGCCGTCCCCCTCAAGTCAAAGAAGGTATGCAGTGATTCTTTGAAATTTCAAGAACAGCAGAGAATTGATCATCATCAGGCTTGAAACTTTGAGGGGCACAAGGAACTTTGGAGGACACTTGGATTTTCCACTTTATGTTTTTTGAACAAAAAAAGCAAGTTGGTGTCAATTCTGATGCCTCTTTTTACATGTTAGTCTCTTCTATGTCTCTGTTTATGGCCATTCCTCAGTCACTACATAAGAATCGAACTTGGAGGCAATAAATAGACTACAAATTTTGGGGACAGAGAAAGCTAGCAAATCTTTTTTTGTGTATCTTTATATATATTCACTTTCAATTATTGATCAGTTACTAAATAAATTTCTTTAAAGAACGTTTAGCTTAAAATTCTAATCAAGATGGAAAAAGGCGGCTTTGGCTGTAGCAGTGGCTCTTTTGATAGAGATTTTTTAAGTGAATGAGCAATGAAAGATGCATGTATATAATTTCAACTTGTTATACAGAGCACGTGAAATATGATGCATGAACAGTGATTCCAGGAACTTTTGAAGGGGTAGATTCAAGGAGCAAATTAACTCAAAGTGGGTTTATACCAGAAAAGTCTCATTCATGGACCTAGCAAATGCGTGCAAGTTTCCTCCACCCCTCTCCTGAACATGATTTTTCTGGCTCTTACCAAATTCCAATATATAGAAAGAACACGGGGGGAGCAATAGTTGCATGGGACATGCAGAAAACAGGGGTACAGCACACTAGATTTCAACAAACATGGGAATATACTGAACTAGTCCTGTCAAAGGAATCTAAGGGGACATCTACCATAATGACGCATAAGACTCGGTTGCAAATTTTTGTAAGCGTTTAACTTTGAATAGTTGGTAATTAGCAGGGGCATGCGAGGTTCTAAAGTCTATAAATACTTGACAGAGGCAAAGCTTAAGGGCATCTCATCAGTCATCACTACCCACTAGTACAACTTCCTTCTCTTTTCCTCTTAGCTAGATACTGTTTCCCCTTTAAGCTTTCTAATCCTTTCTTGTCAATCACCCTAATGGCCAAAACCAACCTCATTGTTCTAGCCGGTGCCCTGCTCCTTGTGCTATTGCTTTCCTACGGTATCACATTTACCGAGGAAAGGGTTTTGAAGACAGACAAAGACGTCAAGCCTGCTGGAAACTATGTGACGAATGTGATGACCAACAGTCGCAAGACCAACTTGAACCGTGACATTTTAGAAGACGGAACAGATGATGTCCATACTGCCAGCTCTGCCAATGACACTGCATTCGATGCCGATGATTTCCGCCCCACGACTCCAGGCCACAGCCCCGGCGCCGGTCACTCCACCGGACCTGCCAGTAATGACAAAAACTAGATCACACTCCCTGCAAGAACCATTAGTATCCACTACTGTTTGTCGCAAATTTTAATCAATCTCTCGTAGGCTATATATCCTATGATTATGTACTAGCTATACCTAAGGCACTGACATGATCGTGCTCTAAGAATTAATGTTATTTGCATGTAATAACAGTTATGAATTGGCTTCGTAAGTTTTAAGCACACGAAAGGAATGCATCTCAAAGTGTGTTCATTATCACTCATTCGTAAATTAATAAATAAAAATTTAGTTTTAATAATACTATATATAATATGTTTTATATGTTAGTTGCCAACGATGGGAATTGTTGGTCCGGGCACTTTTTCCTTATTCGGTTTTTTTATAATATACATACATACATATATATATATATATATATAAGCAGTGACCTTGAATCCTTAGATTCACTTTTTAATTATATTTCGTGCACTTAACAGGGTATATAATAATAAAATATCCTTTCAGCCTTTTTTGGGTTCCAACTCCCAGCACTTTGATTATTGAAAGTCGGAGCCCTTTACTTCCAGGATATGAAAGGAATTTATATATGAAAGGACGGCACCGTCGACCGCATCGGGACTCCTGCAGCTTTCAACTGTGATATCCTTTTCAATTCAACGGATTGTCATGTAGATATGTAGTACCAAAACAGTATCGATGTAAAAGATAAGAAGAAGTGAACAAACAGCTAGCTGATCTGAATTCTACTACTGTATTTACAAGGGCTGGGAGTTGGCAACTGATATATAGCTATATCTCCATGTTGCAGAAAACAGCAAACCTTGAAAGCTCTATGGCCTTCAACTAGAGATCAGATAAATAGATTACAAATGATGAAGACAAAATTTAATAGTAAACAAAGCTGAATTCTTGTTTATTAAGAAATGAGTAACAATGATACACACTACTAGTTAGATGGATTTCTTTACATATAATTTACATGAAATCCGTCTGATTGGAGTAATCTTTGAGAGCATACAGCATAACACCGGCGCCTCTCTTATTCGAGGAATCCTCTTTACATACTGATAAGAAAGTCTAGCTATGAGATTAAAAGGCAACACATATTGAGAGACCGTTTTACAGAGTAGATAATATCTATAATGTATTCTTACGAGGATATATATATAGTAAGTGCGATCTAGCTAGCTAGCTAGTGATGGTCATTAATTACTGGCAGGTTCAGAATGACCGACGCTGGGGCTATGGCCGGGACTCGTGGGGTGGACATCCTTGGTAGCGTATTCGTATGCAGTGAACTTTCTTCCAAGGAAGGCACTAGGACCATCATGATCTGCTCCATGTATGCCATGGCTGCTCATGGTGCTTCTTACCCTGTTTCCCCAGTGCTCATCTTTCTCCATCTTGAAAAGCCTAACTCCATCGGACAATCTAATTCCGCAAGAGAACAATAACAATGAAGCAAACAGAACGGCACGAGCGACAATCAGGTTGTTTTCGGCCATTAGACCAGATATATGGAAGGGATGATCTGAAAGTTCGAATAGAAAAGTATATATAAGAGGAAACGAAGAGAGTGAATTCAAGAGTAAGTGACGAGTAACCAATGATGGGATGCCCTTGTGCCTTTGCTCGGCTGGGTATTTATAGACTTCAGTCTTCAGAGGCTATGACAGGTACAGTATAATTCCAATTTCCATCTCGATGTTTTTCCATATCCACGATGGTATCCCTGTTTTTTTTTTCCACCTTCATTTCGTGCAGAGGTTTTTTTTTTTCCCCCATATGCAACATTGGACGGTGTGTTTTTTTTTTTTAATTAGAGAATGATGTTTATTCATTTCTCAAATAAAAAACCCATAGTGTTTTGTTCTTTGTAATTTTGTATTCCCAATAATTTACCATTTCATTTTCTCTCTTTCCTTCCCTTTCTAATGAAAATTAAGCAAAATTTTAGTAATTCTCAATCAATGGCGGACCAAGGCATTGTCGAGATGGCAACCACCACTCTTCAGTTTTTTATTATTATTATTATTATAAAACAAGTTTCTATCCTTGTATGAGTATGGTTTAATCATCTTGAATGCGAAATTTTAGATCCTTCACTGCAGTTATAAGGTCAAATTAATTTTTTCCACATGAAAAAGTTGTACATAGAGAAAAAATTTTTGATTTATATCAGGTCAATTGAGATATATAAAAAAATAATGTTATAAATGGCACTAAGGAAGTTTGTGGTTCTTGTTTTTGACCATAGAAAGTGGCATTTAAGTTTCGAGTGCCACCACAAGGAAGATACCAGATTCCATTTTTAAGGTTTTATAATAATATATTATTAACTAGTTTGAGCAGCAAATCGATGTGTTTAGATTTTGTTATAGAAAATTGGATCGGTTGCCATGCGGACTTGAGTGCTTCACGAAGGTTCCATCTATATCTGACATATTATCCATGTATATATTTTATAATAAAATATCTTTTATTGAAAGAATAATAATAGGAATAATTAATTAACAGTTATCAACCCTCCTTTAAATTAGGGGATTACTCGTTCAAATCCTTAAATCTAGTACCCTACCAAATCTCATTTGAGTGCTTGTGTTACTCTATTTTCTCATTGACACACATAAAAAACATGTGCCATACATATATAGTATTTAAATAATTTTTTAAAAAATCCTAAAATTACTAGCTAGGAGTTAATATATATGCCCAATATTGGGTTTTCTAATATCAGGAAAATGCTCTGGCAAGCCAAAACAAAGTAAAAATAACACTTGATTTTGTCTTTTTGTTGGACCAAATTGGGTTCATGAACAAAATCATTTCGACGTTTTTTCTATCTCCTAGCGTGGCAAGCGTGGGTCAAAGAACATGCGCGTCGGTGTCCGATTTGACGATTTGGGCCAAATATGTTTTGTTTTTATCCTAAATTATTATTGGGCTGCCAGCCTCATGCTGCTTGATTCATGCCCCAAAATCATAACATTGTTTTGTTCTAAATTCTAATTATTGCTTTGATTTCCTAACAAACTTGTGTAAAAAATAACAAAAAAAAAAACGTTATGGGAAGGTTTTTTTTTGTATACATTGATGGATTTAAAATTTTACATTAAAAGTAATTAAAAGGTAACTATACAAAGTCGAGTCAATAATTTGATTAAAAACAAATATTAATCACTGAGAGATGATAATTGTTAATCTTATCACCACTTTCGATTAATCCCTGTTTACATGAAGGGTTAATTGCAAGTTAATACATCACATTCTAAACCCACGAGCTTAATTTGTAGTTTAAGATGCGAACATCTTAACATAGACCTGTAATGAGATATATGTCAAAACAATTAAGTCATGGGTTCAAGATATTTATAAATCAAGTTATACATTAAGATGTTTGCATTTTGAATTATATATTAAGTTGTGGATTTGTAGTGTGACATAACTAGTGAAATTTTGAATTAAAAACACTTGCCAAGTCACATATAGTTTTTACTATTTTATTTCTCTTGAAGCAAAGTTAATGAATAATATTGCAATTGTTTTTGTTTATGGTAAATAAATTGTATTGTACATTCAATTAATGAAAAAGTAAGTACACCAAAATGTAAACCCATATGCTCAATAATTGTTTAAAGTCAATTCATTAAATGTAGAGGATTGTTAATTACTAAGTTGAAGTAAAATGTGCATCTTGTTTACTAATGTTCTTTGGTGGGAAATTTTATTACTTATTTTCCTCACTAACTAACAAAACATAGTTCATTTAAATATCTTTATGAAATAATTGCATTTATTATTATAAACCACCACATAAAAATGATTAATCATAAAATAATTACATTTATTATAACCTAGACCATGATTATCAAAGCCAAACATAAACCCACATTATTATTATGTTTTAGCTATTTATAGAAATAAATCCTCTAATTTAAAAATTCCAAAAATCCAAGGAAAATATCTAAAGAAAGAACTCCTCAAAGTTAAAAACTGTTAAAAAGAAGGCAGCTGGCGGCGGATCCAGGGTGAGAGTGACCACGAAACAGTATCACATGCACATCCCCCTTCGTATTGTCAAAATCAACGGTTGAGATCAAACTATCACCTCCCTCATCCAACGGTCAAAACCACTACCGCGTTTCACGTTCCCCATCACCCTTCGCTTAAATCCTCTGCTTAGACCCTAGCCGTGCTTTCTTTCTCTCTTTAATTTCTCTTCCCCTGAAAAAACTCAGATTCAGTTTTTTCTTTTTTTTTCTTTTTTTCCCTAAAATAAGAGAACGAAAACTCAGATTCAATTCAAATAATTATTCAAAGCTTTTTATTTATCTTTATATTTATATTTAGATTTTTTGTTAAGAGAATAAGGGATAGTAGCGATAAAAAGATAAGGATGCAGCAAAACAGTGGTTCGGATTCGCAACCGTCGCAGGAACAGAACCAGCGGCAGCAGCAACAGTCTCAACAACCGCCGCAATCACAGCCGCAGTGGGTGGCGATGCAGTATCCGGCTGCAGCTATGGTAATGCAGCATCAAATGATGCAGCCGCAGCATTTCGTGGCGCCGCCACCTTCACCTCAGCAGTATATGCCTTACCATCATCACCATCAACAATACCAGCACCACCATGGCCACGTGCAACACTCGCAGCAGCAGCAAGGATCTGGCGGCGGCGGCGAGAACAAGACCGTCTGGGTTGGTGATTTGCATCATTGGATGGACGAGAACTATCTTCATAGCTGCTTCGCTTCCACCGGAGAGGTTGAACAAAATCTTATTTAACATGCTTATTTTTTAATCGGCTCACTGATTGTTGCGTTGGTTAATATTTGTATAATCTTTGTGACTACAGTTACGTCGTCATTATCGTAATGTTTCTGCATTTAGGACACTGTCTGGTAATGGTATACTACTTAATATGGATTGTCGATTTATGTGCTTGTATCTTTCTTAGTAGTGAGGTACTATTTATGGAAATATTTTAAAATTAAATGTATATATTGGCAATCTAGGCAATTATCCCAATGAATGCATTGATGAAGATATATCTTTAAATAGTAACCTTAGTGAGAAACAGATGTGTGTCTTTATATCTATATCTGGTTTACCCTATCAAATGATAGGATTTGGTCAATAATTAATACATTTGGTGCTTTTTAGTGGTAAGGTATCTGTTGGCATTGTAGATCCTATGCTTGTATGTTTCCCGTGTTCAATTCCTCATTTGTCTATTTGATGCATTTAAAAAAAAACATAAAAAGAAGCCATTGATTGAATAAGGCGTGAAGCAAATGTGAAATTTGACTTCCCTGGTTCACGATATTGTCTGGAATGTGAAAAAACTGTTGCGAGAAAACACATCTTTGGCATAATTCTGGAATTGTATGAATGTTTAGGTTGAATTAAATGTAAAATTCAAAATAGGTTGAAGAGATATCTTCTGACTTGTTGTCCTATTTATGCAAGAATTTGTTGCATTTGGCTTGCATGCAATGATCACACATAGTGGTAGTGACTCTTCATAAATTTAAATCAATTATGGTTGATTGAGAAGGCAGAGGAACTTCAGTGAAAAGAAAGTCAAAAGAAAGATAGAAATTTTGTTTAGGGTTTTAGTTGCCTGCCTAACTTCAATTGACACTTGGAATTTATTTGAGCAGATTGCGTCCATTAAGGTCATTCGCAATAAGCAGACTGGTCTATCAGAAGGATATGGGTTTGTGGAATTTTTTTCACATGCAACAGCAGAGAAAGTTCTGCAAAATTATGGTGGCATTTTGATGCCAAATACGGAACAACCTTTCCGTCTCAACTGGGCAACTTTTAGCACAGGAGAGAAGCGCTCAGAAAATGGTCCGGATCTTTCTATATTTGTAGGAGATTTAGCTGCAGATGTCACTGATAGCCTGTTGCATGAAACTTTTGCTAGTAAATATTCTTCTGTTAAAGCTGCAAAAGTTGTAATCGATGCTAATACTGGTCGATCGAAGGGTTATGGTTTTGTGAGGTTTGGAGATGATACTGAGAGGTCACAAGCCATGACCGAAATGAATGGTGTATATTGTTCTAGCAGGCCTATGCGTATTGGGGCTGCAACTCCCAGGAAATCCTCTGGTTATCAGCAACAATATTCGTCACAAGGTATTTGATTTTTTAACTTGTTCTGTTTTTTATGCATTTTGTTTAAGCTTACAAGGATTGGTACTTCTAATTTAATAAAATTATATTTAAGTAATAGTATATATGTTTTCCGGTAGAGTTATCTTTTATCTTCTTGTTGACACTTGCTTCACTTTTCCCCTTTGAAACACCTTGCTAGCTTCACTCTGCTTAAAAAATTTGGTGCTGCTGCTCCTACTTTGACTTAAATTTTTGCACTGGGAGATCTGTGATTCCTTCTCTTATTGTTGGTTGATGTCCTCATTTTTGGTATTAGAATGTGTTGGTATCGAATGGTAGCCTTCTTGGGCAATAAAATCCTAGTTTTCTGTTTTTGTTTTATGTAACTAAATTTTTACAAATCCCATCTTTCCTTGTGGTCTCAACTAGGTTTAGCCTCTTTTCATGGGGGCTTATGCATCTTTAATTTGCTGTTTATAAGCACTGTCCTTATGTCATGAGATATTATGCGAGTTGTTTGAATCCTTCTTAAGTGACCATGACTAAGTTTCAGGAGGGGTAATTGGCATTTTCTTTTGTGAGCAATAAAAATAGGGTAGGAATTGTTAGAAGTTGCTGAGGATAGTTCCTCTATTGCTTGTGTTAAGACTAGTTTTGTGAAGAAACTGTTGCCATGAATTGCCTTTTAAGTTGGATTTGACATAGTTTAAAGGTTATTATCTACACTTGATTTTGTCCAATAGAAACCACAATAGAATTCTATATTATGATTGAGGGTTTCATCATTTTTTTCATGACTGTAACATCCTTTTATCTAAACTTATTCAAAGAATGAATCTTAAACTTAACCTTCTTGTTTTCTTTTCTTCTTATTTTTTCTTTAATAAATCTAAAATTGGCTTTTGTAAATGTAGCAAGTACATAATTGGCATTGTAAAATGGCTTTTGTGAATGTAGCAATTACATGATTAGCATCGTAAAAGAATGTCAGGTGCTGAGATTATTACCAAATGCAGATGCTTATTACCCGATTTTATATTTGCCTCCTGGTGCATAATTAACTTTTGGTTGCTGATGTTCATTCTTGCCCCATCTATTTTCTAAATTCTCATCAGGCAAAGTTACTTGTTACAGTTTAAAGATAGATCAAAATGTGAAAGTTATTTTCATCTATACATTGCTTATAGCGTAGGATTTTACTTGATACTTTCGCTTCTGTTTGTTCTTGGAAGGTGGATATGCATCAAATGGTGCTTCAAATCAATCTGATGGAGATTCTTCCAACACAACAGTGAGTTTTTCAGCTTCTTGTTTAGGCTTTAACTCTAGGAGCACCACCATTTGTGCCTCTCTTGGCTAATCATAATTTCTTTTAGATATTTGTTGGAGGGCTTGACCCTAATGTCACTGAGGAAGACCTAAGGCAACCTTTCTCTCAGTATGGTGAAATAGTCTCCGTTAAAATACCTGTTGGAAAGGGATGTGGCTTTGTACAATTTGCCAACAGGTAAATATGTGGCTATATTTCTGCTTTTGCCATATTATAGGCTTCTATATTAAAGGTGTAGTTTAGTTATTATCAAATCACTATGTTGATGTAACTTCTTGAGTCTCAACAGGAACAATGCTGAGGAGGCACTGCAGAAGTTGAATGGGACAGTTATTGGCAAGCAAACAGTGCGTCTTTCTTGGGGTCGCAATCCAGCTAATAAGCAGGTGTCACTTTCTTATCGTAGTCTTCTTTACTCACCCTTTTATTGCTGATTGTGGCATTAAGGAATCTGTTACTGTATGCTTTGGCAACAACACAGTAAAGTTTGCGGGTTCGATGACAAATCTTCCCATCTGTTATTTTAAGTAAATTATTTTTATTGAATCTATTCTTTTGGGAAATTGCAGTTTAGAGCTGATTATGGTAACCAGTGGGGTGGAGCTTACTATGGAGGGCAGGTCTATGATGGCTACGGATATGCTCTTCCACCACCTCATGACCCGGGCATGTATGCGGCTGCTGCAGCCGCATATGGGGCTTATCCTATCTATGGCAGTCATCAGCAGCAAGTAAGCTGAAGTAATAACAGCAGGAGAGAACTTGTAGCTCTAGTAAGTAGGCACTCACACTAGAGGGGGGGGCAAACTACCTTGTTAGTTGTTACTCCGTAGCTCTCTTGGTTCTGTAGAATCCTTATAAAATCCCTCCGAATGTGGAGTGGAACTGAATTTTGACCCCTTCAGTAGCTTTCTAGGGATTGGATTCATTATTTGTTTAATTCTATGTGAGTTAAAAGGGAAAACTCGGTGGTTGGAATATATGACTTCGCTGACGTGTGTGGTAGTTTGCTGCATGAATAAACGTTGCTTCATAAATAAGAGCCTGTGCCTTGCCTGCCTATGGAAGACCGTTTGTTTACTTGGATTGCATTTGAGCTTTCCTATAGAACAATATCTTCCTCACTTCTATTTTCTGGGTTACCACAATCTTTGACTGTTTGATGAAATGAACTTTCATGGTTTCTATCGATAAATTGACAGTAAAGTTGAAAGGATTTAAAACTCCACTTGGCTTGGTAAACCGAAATTGCATTCGTTTGGTCATGTAGTATGAGATGAAATGAGTTTTGATTAATTTATGTTTATTTAATTTTTTATTAACCTGCAATTTGAGATTGCAATGGATATTAATTTCGAACGAGGTACGAATCAAGATAAATATTTTTTTTTATACGTAAAAGAGTTATTGTAACAAGCTAGGATGAGTGAGTATTTTTTTATTTAACAGATATTTTTTGAGTTGAAAAATGAGCTTGTAATATAAGAATTCTGAAATTTTCATTAACGGGAAATATGAGTTTTAATTAACAATTATATTTTTGAGTTGGAAAGCATAAGTATGTGATAAGCAATATTTTTATCTAATATTTCATTAAGGTGAAATCTCTCATGAGCGATATTAAGATCTGAAAAAATTATAATGAGATTTCAAAATATATTAATTTCAAAATAAATTTAAATTAGAATAAATTATTTTATATATAAAAGAGTTATTGTAATAAAATAAGGTAGGTAGTTTTTTTTTATTTAATAGATGTATTTTTTGAGTTGAAAAATATGAGCTTGTGATTAAAAATTTTTAAATTTTATAAATTAATCGATTTAAATAATTAATTAATTTTTAAAATACATTTTTAATGAACATGTATACCTTTAAACCTGCACATTCGAATTAAAGACGTCTTGTGCGAGATAATAACCCTTATTTTATTATGCGTTTTGATTTTAATCATTTGCCTTAATGCACTGGGACGGAAGGTAGTAAAGCAAGTAATAATCACGACCATGACCACCATTAGTACAATGATGATGGGAGGTTCAGCGACATTACCACTTCTGTAGCCCAACTGCGAAGCGAGGATCCAAAATCTAACGAGCTGTCCGGCTCTGGTCCCTCCTCCACGTGGCCCTCCCGGCAAGTGTTTGGACCACAGGGCGCACACCCAACCCAAAGGCTGGGTTGGGAACTTGGGACGCAAAAACACTATAGATGATGTTAAACCGTTGGATTACCAGAAAAGTCGGTCAAATGAGATCATCGGCTTAGTTTAAAGAGAAAAAGTTGTGGCGGTAATAGGAGGATGCTGGAGTGTCGGCGAGCATATGACAAGGGTGCCGCCAAGGAATAACACGTGGCATCCAGTAGTTTCTACAGGTGTACGAACGTTACACGTCGGCATTATTTTAAAGCGGGAAAAATAATTACGGGGCGTAGATATTTTTTGGTTTTTGGCGGAAATTATTTATTTATCATGGTTAAGTAGTTAATTCGGTAAGAGGTGGCCCCTTTGGCCAATCCCTTTGCCCAACACGTTTCAATGGAGCTACTTTCTCCTTCCGCTCTCTCTCCTCTTCTCCCTCCCCCTCCTCCGCCATGTTCTTCTTCTCTGCAACATCACAGCCGAATCTCTTTCTCTCCTTCAAGAATCGGAGCTTCTTCGTCTTCGTCGACTTCTCAAGAGATTCAACATACTCATACATCAAATCCGAAAGTCGTCGTCACCAGAGAACGAGGCAAAAACTTCAAGCTCATGGACGCTCTGGTTTAAATTCTTTTTCTCTTTCTTATTCTCTTCTTTGAATGCTTATTTTTGATGATTTTTTTTTCATTTTTGTTCGCTATAAAGCTCATTAGGGTTCTGTTTTTCTTACAATTTATTTGAAACTTAAAAGAAAAAAAAGGAAAAAGTTCATTATTTTACCATATATAACGAATCGTCAACTGCATTCTGAATTTAGGATCGGTTCATGATCTGTTTGATTAAATGCTGAAACAGAAGCAACAGCTAAGTCGTTTTTAATTGATTTTAAGTAGCATCTAAGTCATTTTTAATTGTTTTTTACCTTAAATATATTTGTTGTTATTTACACCTTTTCTTTAAGGGTAAATACTATGTGATGAACTTCTTGAACTTTGAGTCTGGTTCGTACCAAAGAAAAAAAAATTAGAAAAAGATTAAAGAATGTTGAGCACATGCCATTACTATTTCAAGAGATCTAGCTGTAAAAAAGCACTGAATATTAGAATCAGTCGTACCAGAGATATATTTAGGTTCAACGTAAGTTTCGAGTCAACGAAGTCACAAAATTTTATGGAAATAATTTCTGTTTCACAGTTTGCGATGATTTTCCCTTTTTCAAATTGTGAACTTCGGCAAATTTATGGATCAAATGGCACTTTTTTTGCTGTGGTAAGTGGAAATTTATGGCCTTAAATGGAAAGTTTGAAAAAATGGAAATCACTTCTGAAACTAATGACTGATCTTATGAAATCACTTCATAGCCCATAAGCTGCTAATTTAGATATGGATTGTACAAGGTAATGAATTTATGCCTAAATTTCTTGATCCCTGTTCTTCTCAGTTTCTTATTTTTTAACCCTAAACTCACAACCACTATTATCATATTTTCTGTGCTTATTGCTGTACCTTGACATTCACTGCCCCACTGCTCCCCCCCTCCAGTGCTATTTGTCTCTGTTCCTGTACACATATCTCTTTTGTTTTTTTTATCCTTAGCTTCATTTAAATATTTGGTAATGGGAAACATTAGGATACCTAATGAAATACAAATTTTTTATTACTAGTTGATTGTGCAGAACAATAATTTAATGCCCTTTGTTACTTCAATGTGTGTACAATGGTGCCTTGTCTGTTCACTTTAATATTGATTATTGGTTATTCTGTGTCACCTGATGTTGAGTTGTATTGCTGATTCTTGGGTCCCACTAATGCTTTTACCCACAATAGTCCTTAAACATGTCTGTTAGGCATGTATGATGTTTGCTAAATCTGTCTGATTAAACAATACACACTAAAATGGGAAATACTGCTATATATTCGCTCAACAGTTTTTATATAAGTGTATATTCAGTTTAAGATTGTATTAAATTGTAGGCCGAACTTGGGATCAATTGCTTGGAGTTTCCTCTTATTCAGCATGCACAAGGGCCTGACTTTGATAGGCTTGCTTCTGTTTTAAGTGGTGAGTTTGAAAACTTCATGCTCTATATTGATAGTTGTGCATAATTTTGTAGTTGGTGCATTGGATGGACTGTCACTTGGATTACATGGATGACAGGCAATCTTTTTTTTAAAATATGTATGTCTAGTCAGTCGTAGGTTGCTGGTCTCCTTTTTATGCTTGCTATATGTAATACACATGTTTACATCCATTGGCTGCTAAGCTGTTGTTTGTCAAGCCTTGTTTGGTTTTGACCTACAAACATAAAGCATACTGATATTTGAGATTTGGATAGGCATTTTTTTTGCTCTATTGTACTGTTTCTTCATTGTGTGAGGCGGTGGAATATCTTAGGAATAGTTGTATGGTGATAATTGAGAATAATATGATTGCTTTTAATGCCCCTTAGGACAGTCTAGGTAAAGAGGGTGCAAGTTAATTTGTCTGTCTTGTCTTGTAATATATATATTTTTTGTGGTGTCAGCAGAAACGGCGTTTGACTGGATCATCATAACTTCACCTGAAGCCGGTTCGGTCTTTCTAGAGGCATGGAAGTAAGGGTTAGAACATACAAGCGAGAAACTATCTACTTTATTGGCTCCTGCAGTTTCATGTCAAAAATATTTTAAGTATTTCTTGTTGGGTTTTAGGAAATTTTAGTGCTCAAATGATGAATAATGTGTTTGCTTGAAATACCTCTCAAGTTTCAGCAGTATTACTCTACTTTCTTGCCAACATGTCATGTTAGCCTTGCAGCATTCATACTTTTATTAGCAGTTTCAAAAAGTTAAGTATTTGTGTGCGTGATTTACACATGGATATGTGTCTAAAGGACATCTTTATGTGTGGCTCTAAAATTATATATTTTTCTTTTGATTTGTGTTTAATTTGGACACATGGGCTTAATTTTTTTCCTTTAGGGCAGCTGGAACCCCAAGTGTGAGGGTAGGTGTTGTTGGAGCTGGTACAGCTAGTATTTTTGACAATTTAATACAATCATCAAAGCACTCGCTTAATGTTGCCTTTGCACCATCAAAAGGTACTGATTTTTCTATGTATAAATTTGTTTTTATGGGTCATCTTTGCTTGTGTTTGCATGGTGGCATGTGCCTGCATTCAAACTTTTAAGAGTTGGTCATTTTGATGCAAAATAATTTTACATCTACTTTGGGAGGGATTCTTCTGATCAATAAAATGAAACACGTGGCATATTGTTTTTGTCCTATTGATTTAGATGCATTTATGAATTTTTAGTATTTTTAGTTTAGACTACAAACATTAAAATGGGGTTATCTGGATGTCCAATATTGCTCCTCATTCTGTGAGATATTTTGCTACATTAGAGTATGTGCTGCTATAAAATGATCTACCCTTTCCTTAATGTGACGGACATGTTGTTGTGGTTACAGTATAAATCAGGTTTTCTCAGCAGTTCCATTGATAGGTTTCATAGATAACCATGATTTGCCTCTATTAAATAATCACTGTTTGGATGCTAACCGCATTCAATGTGTTTAAATTCCACTCATTCAGCAACAGGAAAAGTTTTGGCTTCTGAGCTTCCAAAGGATGGGAATAGAAGGTGCACCGTCTTATATCCTGCTTCGGTGAAAGCTAGTAATGAGATTGGTAAGTTAATTGCTTTGGTTGTCTGTTATCCTTCTCATGGATGTCTATTTTACTGGAGCGATTTGCGCCCTTGCTGATTTTTAGATTTTTGTTATTTGAACATCTGCTCTGTCTCTGTGATGCATTGGAGACATTTAACCAGTGGATTTGTAAGCTAAAAACTTGACCTTGTAGTTTAAACGGGTATGCAAAGTTTATTTGATGTTATAGCTATGATAATTTTTTTTTTGGAAAATTTTATAGCTGTGATAATTACTCGTGATTATAGCATAATAAATAGCCATGCATTTTATCGAAACAAAATCCTCAAAAGTTAAATTCTTAAAAGCATAAAATCTAAAGTTAAAAAAGTAAAGGGGAGAAGAAAACTTTACTTTGAGGCTCGAGCAAAAGGATTTTGAAATTGTGAAAGAAACCTATAGGTTGACTCAGTTTGAAATTTAAAGCCAACACCATCCCCGCCCCCACCCCCTACCAAAAAAAATAGATAAATAAATGAGAAAATACTTGTTCTCTATTAATGAATGCACATCAGGTTGTGGTGGCATACTTAACACATTTATTAACCTCAAAACTATAGGTGTTTTGCTTTCATTTTTCCCCTACTTCTGGGTCTTACTTATCTGAAATTGTGTTTTAGTTGGAGTTAATTAGTTTTATGATCCTTTTTTCCCTGTTATATTCGAATTGAGTTTCTTGACTTTGGGAACTTTTATCAGAAATGTCTAGCTTGGTCGAGCAATTCTTATTAGTAATTTTTCCTCATCACTATGCCTGATATTATTCTTATATTGGCTATATTTAGTATCATGCTTGAAGTTTAATTATGACACTAGGAAAATGTGAAAAAGTGTGTTGACCCTTGGTTTGGCTTTTATGTTGCAGAAGAAGGCCTGTCTAGTCGTGGATTTCAGGTTATGAGGCTGAACACATACACAACTGTGAGTTTCTTTGTGTTGGTACTTTTAGTTTCAGGTTCCTCTCCGGGTGTCATTCCATTGATGGTTAAATTTTGTTCACCTTATCTACCTTAATTGAAGTTGAATTGCTTCTTTATTTAGCGTACATAATAATTTCACTATTTTATGAAGTTTGTCTGTCTGTTGTAGCCTTGAGAGCAATATATCAACATAATCCATCAAATTCACTTTATAATGTTGTCTGGGCAACCAGATATGACTGAGATGAGATATTTGAAATGGTAACTATCTCCTGCAAAATGGTGTTAAAAGTCTGTTGATAGCCCATAAATGTCTTAGGGGGATGCTATTTATTGCTTGAAATGAAAACAAGAAGAATCTGCTAAGTTTTTTGTCCTCCCTTGGTTCTTGGGGAGGCAAGATTTAGTCACAATTCTGGATTCGTAGCTTGTATTCCTCTTTTTTGGAGCCTGTGTGGTAGTTTGTCTGTATGCTTGTCTTGATCCTTCTGTTGGAACACCAATGGGATAGTTGGTTTCCCAACTCCCTATCATGATTTGCATCTTTGAAGGTATTAATCGTGGTCTGTCTATAGTAATGGGTTATAGCTTCTACAGTGGCCTCAGGAGGGCTAAAGAAGATGGTTTATGAATGACAATTGTATGTGCTCTCTTGGTCCTTGATGTTTAATTATTTTATTCAGGTAGTTGTTGATCATGTTGACCAAATTGTCTTGGAGAAGGCCCTATCTGTCCCGGTCGTTGCTGTTGCTTCACCTTCTGCAGTTCAGTATGTAGCAGTTCTTTCTCTGCACTTGTATTAATTAGCCCAATTACAAAGGCTAACTTAAAGCTTTTGTATCTGTTAATGAGGATATTCTTGGTTTGAGCTTAAGTCTCTGCAAGTTCATTAACCATCCTGTACATTTGTTACTTCATATAATTTGGATTGTCATCGTAGTCAGACCTTCTTGATGGCCTTAAATGTGGATGATGAAAACATATTCTTGCTCGTGCTTGGGCTGCCTGCATTTCCCAAGTCTTTTATTGGGGTAGATATTTTTCTGATCTATTTAGTTTATGCACCTTTCTTGCATCAGAGCCTGGGTCAATCTTATTTCAAAACCTGATTCTTGGAGCAATTCTGTTGCCTGCATTGGGGAGACAACCGCCTCAGCTGCAAAAAGATTGGGATTGAGAAATGTTTATTTTCCAGCGCAGCCTGGACTTGATGGGTAATCCTCTTTCTTTTTTCTAAACATTCTGCATTTTGTTTCTGTATTACAATTTACTGCTTGCTTAATTTGTATGCTCTGTCATCAAGTAACAGGGGGTTGCATCTTAGTTCCATTGAGAAGAAGCTCCTCCCTTTTTTGTTTTTTTGTAGCAGTTAGAACACTCAGTGTCCGATTACTTGCATGGCTGTTGAAGCAACCATAAAGTTAAACTGCAGCAAATTTCCTGCAACTGTAATTGCTTCAATAGCCAAGGCTCTGCCAGCAAAACCAGTACTCTATTGAGTATTGAGCAGAGTTCTGTTTGAGCTGAGCTTCCTTGGCTTGGCAACGAGTTCTTCCTTCTCTTATATTCACCTTTTCTCTCTCTGAACCTCCTTAACCATGAATGCTTATCAAATTGGAAGTTGTTTTTGACTAAATTGAAGATTCTGACTCTTTTGATTTTTGTGTATTGGCAGCTGGGTTGGTAGCATCCTTGAAGCCTTAAGAGCTCATGACAGTTTTTAGGAATGAAAGATACTAAGGTAACCTTTTTTGCCCCTTTTTCCCAGTTATTTTAGGAAGTAACATCATATTTTCTCAAAGAATAAATGAGTTATTCTACTAGGTTCCTTTGGAAGCCTGGAAGCAGAATGAAGCAGATTTTGAACCATAAGCCTCACAAATTCCATGTGAGCTGCAGACAACAGAGAGAAAAAAAGTTTGGCCAAGCTAAAGGATGGGCATTTGTTGAAAATTCAGAGATTTGAAGGTACATGTCCTATCGGCAGCAATGTAATTTAAGGTTAGTGAGAGGCTATTCATTTCAACATAATTGAAACTTGTACAGCATTTTCTCACCGTAAGCCCATTCATTTGACTCAATGTCAGTTGTGTTGAAATTGAATTGGTGGAACTGCCACTCCATAAAATCTGTAAGCGGTAGGAGACTTTGTTAATTGTAGTTGTAATCATAGTCGCTGTCCTTTTATGTTGTTGTATGACATTTTTTATATATTTTAAGTTGACAATAAAAATCAATTTAATTTAAGAAACTTGTGCTAGAATTGCACTCTAGTATGTCTTTACTTTTAGATTTTTAGATTTTGCTGTCAATCCTTCCCCGAATGAGAAATTTGATGATCTGGTAGGGTTTATCACTGTATTTCTTGTTGTGGGGGACGAATTCCTTGAAATTATACAGGAAGGGAGACATACTGTCAGGTAGCAATTGAGAGGTTTTCACTCAGCCATTGCACAAGCGCTCTATGCTTTGGCCTAATTTCTAAATGGATGATGTACTTAAATGATTATGTCTATTCGTAGATAGTTGTTAAAAGTAGAAACATAATAATACATTGTCCATAGATATCTTCAACTTTTAGAATAATTCCATCAGCAGAGAACTGGTTCAATTTCTTTAGGCCCATTCCAATGATACGTCTTCTCCTTGCCTTCTAACTTCCATGCAAAGATTATATAGAGAAAACTTGTCAGCTTGGCGACAAATTTCTGGAATTTTAGAATAAGATGATTACCATTGTGAAGTATATTCTCCGTAGGTTCGTTAAGAGGTAGGCTTGCCAGGAGGCAGTTTCCCCTGGAGGAATGATGTGATCATGGTGAGTGCTCGCTCTGGTTGGTAGCTTGGAACTGTGTGACCAGCTCCACGCACTGTGGCAAAAATCAATTCCTTGTAGCCAACAACATATCCTCCAACCTGCCACCGTCAGTTCTTGGAGTATGCATAAAAGGTTACAGATTAGGATTTATCAAATGGCAGGAAAGACCATATTACCTCACTATTAGAGTACCATGGCTGCCAGGCAGTCTCTACTCGAAGTTTTAGGTTGTTGATGGAGTACCTAGAAGATGTCACTGGAACTCGGCCATCTGTGTCGCCACTGGCAGCAGGTTTTGTTTTATAGATAATAACCAGTATATATCTTATTAGTGAATGTGTAAAACTTTCGGTGCAGTAATGCAGTATTTATTGAGAAATATACCTGTATATCCACACCCTAATCTCCTTGGCTAAGTGCTGTATTTCAGGAAGAATAGTCGTTGGGCTGTCTGTCCATCCAACATTACTGAACATAGTACAGAAGCAGACTGGTTAGGAGTTTTTGTTTCACCCTTTCAAGCTTTTTAACGTGGTATGAAGCTGTTCTTTCAATTTGTATGCATATCTTGTTATTGTTGATCACAGGTAACATAGTATACTCAATGAGAACAAACATTTGAAAAGTAAATTGGCAGGGTCGTGCCTACCTGCAACCTGACCAATTTGTAGCTTTGATATGAAGAGCTGCTTGTACCTTTGCAAGATTTAGGTAGGAATTAACGTAATACTCAGCGCATGGATCATAGTTCTTGACCTAAAGATTCAAGATCATCAAGAATCAGTTCAGTCCATGTCTTAAGGCGCATTTGCTTTGTTTGACATCTTTGCTTCTCTACTCTTCCATGGTTATAATAGCTCGCATCTGTGGTCTATCCATTTCGTATGTAGATTTACTTTTAATGACCGATTCATTGTCTTATTAATCAGTAAGGATTGTTATGAAGCATGATCGTTTTAGGTGTACGATACTTACATTGCCAGTTGATCCAGATTTTAGTGCTGATGTATAGCATGGAGGGGCATAAATTCCGTACAGATTGATGTTTCCCAACTCTTGAAGTCCCTGATTCTGATACTTTCCACATTGGATCGGATTGTCGTCTGCATCTGCCTTTTTGGTAAGTGAATCTTCACTAGCAAAGTTGCAGTATTTGTTAATTCCTTCATTGGTTTCATCAGAGTTGAGAGCGTGTGTCCATAAGTAATCAAACAAGCCCTTCGTACAAGCATCATCATCTACCCAAGCATTTCCGATCTGCAATATCCATAACAATTCTCAGCTTTAAGCCTCTTTTCACATTGAAAAAAGGATGGCGTTTTGTCAGTAAACTCACAGCTATTCCTTTGAGGTTGATGACGGTTTGAGTTGTGTTCTTGTTTATCGCGAGAATATAGTAAGCAAGCTGAGGAACATAATGGCCAGCATAGCTCTCACCGGTTATGTAAAAATCGCGTGTTTTATACTGTGGGAATCTTTCGAGCCAGTTGATGAGAAAAATGTAGGAGTCCTGTGCTGTTTTCTTGTCTCCTACGTTGGTGTAGTCCGTGGAATTTTTTGAATAAGAAAACCCAACTCCTGCCGGCGACTCCAGGAAGATCACGTTTGCAACTGCCAATTTTTTTGTACGATGTGTCAGTAGAAATCAAGGGAATGAGAAAACGGTGTTATCAAACTTGGAAACAGAGTTAATGTTACCATTGTTCCATGCATATTCGTTCCTGTACAGCGTTTTTCCATCACTGTTTACTCTGAAAGGTCCCAGTTCTTGCATGGCTCCATATCCGAAAGACGAGCATCCTGGACCTGTACATCATAAGCAATCAACCGTCTTCTGTTATTTTATTGTATCTTATTGGCGTCTACAGATTATAGACACTTGATTTTGTCTGGGCAGAGTGACGATGGGCTTGGATTCCTTCAATGGCGATGGTTACCAAGACCATTAGAAGTCGGTGCTGCCCACTACTCAAAGGTGGGCTAAAAGAAACTTCCTATTCCTTTTTTTTTTTTAATAGTAAAGCAAAGTAAGTGCTGGACCAACTCAAAATTCCATCTGTGAGAAAAAAGACAAGTCCGGATGAAAAGTAAGTGGTTTGGGATTTCTGTAAGCCATATCTGTAACTTGGAGTAGGTTTTGGTGGGTCGTTGTGAGGAAGATTTGGGAATTGGATCTGCTTTTTGTGTGTAGGTAGCCCACAAATATGATCTTCATTTGAAGAGGATTTTCCCATTATCTTTAGCAATGAAACTTCAATCTTACAAAAAAAAAAAAA